AAGCATCCCCCTCCGGAACAAGAAGCCAGAATTAGGTGGGAGACTCGTAAAGCTGTAACTAACTGAATTTAGGGTTGCTACTAGTCACCGTTGTACTCAACGTATTGGCAGACGCAATCTGCTGCTCCGACAACAGCTTTTGGGGTTTTGGTCAGGGAACGTACCGCCCGGCTAATATGGCGTCGCATTGCGTGTCGTGGGCTATTTAATGCCTTGCAGAAGGTCCCCGGCCCAACTTGCACCCCTCAATGTTTCAGTGCTGCGTAGTAATCTGCTAAATGAAGAGTTACCAAATACTTTTCGTGTCTTGTTTCAGAAAACTTATGATTTGACTGGTTACGTGAAAATTCTCTTGAAGCTTGCAATAGAAGAATAACCAAATGTGAATTTTTGTATTCAGCAATCTCAACAGCATCAACGCTACCACCACTTAATTGATTCAATGCTCATTGTGGAACAAATATCCAAATAAAATATCCAGAAATGTCCCTGCATCCCTGCTGGTGAAAATGTAGTTCGAGGGGGCCACTCATAATATCTAATCGAATTCACAATCATAGAATAATATGACAAGGGATAATAGGACAAGGGTAAACGTACTAGTCGTAGGCCACGGTCTCAGTGAAAGATATGATAAGATATAAGTGCCTTCCCGCAACTCTACTTTGATTAGATATGAGTGTCTTTCCGCAACTCCACTTCGATTAGATAGGGTGCCCCCCCCCGAACTACATTTTCACCTCCCTGCTTATTCGCTGCGCCATGTTCTTCATGGTCCTTCTGAGCGACACCCATCGTGGCCGTTTCGAACTCTAGGTGAAATCTTCTGACAATTTGAAAGTTCAGATTAGGAACCAGCTCTCACGGCGATTTCAGGAAGAAGAGCAGCGCTTGTTACAAATCCTCCACATCTTAGCAGGCAGAAAAATCCTCACTTTTGAAGCACGAAGCTAAGGAAACTGATAAGGTCTGGCGGAGAGCGTAGGGGAGACGTTCAGTTCTCCTCCTGAGGTCAGATCACCAGAGCTGCACGATCACTGTGCCTAGGCTTAAGCTTGGGTTTAGGCTCGGGCTTAGGCTCATGCTTGCACATTGGTTTTTGCTTGAACCTATGATTTGGTGTCCTGATGGCGCAGAAGGCCGGCCTTGGAGAAGCCTTCGCTTGATTGTTACCTTTTTCAAAAGTCATATCATAACTGCCGATTATAAAGTGGCTAGATGTAGCCATGTTAGAAAAAATACTCAATATTCGAATATATACAAGGTTTTTTTCAGATGGTACACTATGGTAATCCTGTTGAGGACCTTGTTCGTTTGTTCACCACAGGACTCACAGTGTCTGAGAGAAAAGCTCATACCGTTGAACTTCTTGAGTATTACCAGAGTCAGATAACGTCAGTGATACCAGAACTAGAAGGGAGCTTAACGGTGGACTGGGTAAGTTTGACATTAGCCATTCACCTCTGCATCCCTAATACTGGCTTTACTGCCGAATAGGGCAATTTTCCGATCGCTTCTGCGGCGAATGGTCGTTTTTAGGCTTGGGGATAGGTCGCGCATTGCTTTTACCCTGCGACAGCACACCAAAGTCTTGAAGAAAGCAGCTGCTTCGCGACCGCACGCAGCCGTTACCATCGAAATGCATATTCGCTTAGATCCATGTAGGAAATACTTCGTATATGTTAGCGGTTATACGGCCGATAGGGTGCTAATTCATCCCTCAATGGCACGTTAAATTCCCTGAAAAGAGATTGCTGCCATATGTATAAGTATTAATTTAACATGACAAAATGGCTACCGAATGTCATGCTGAAGTAGATAAATGAACATGAATTGTATTTGCAGCTCTTGTCGTGCTACAAAAGAATCTTCCCGATGGCTGGTCTATGGGCAATGGTAAGCCTTCACGCGTCATTCGAATCGGCCACTTCGCAAGCACCACCGGATAGCATCAAGCTGAAGACGGTTGTCGAGAAAATCCACGGAATCGCCACCGAAATCCTTGAAATGTCCTGTTGAGTGAACCAAAATGGATGAACCATAAATCTTTCCATTGGAGGACTCGCATAAGGATGGTCATTGGTGATAGAAGATGCTTTGCAAGATACAGCTTTTCGGATTTTCATACGTGCAAATTTTCTGGAGAACGCTTTAGAGCACTTAGGTGGTTGAGTGGGAGAGGGCGCCACGTCTGAAGGTAAAAACGTCTGTTATGGCAAACCTTCATTCACGAGTTCTTGTTGGTACAATTTTATAAGGGAAAACGGGCTTAGTTTCACCCAGAATGCTGGTTTTGTAACAAATTTCACACCAGACGAACTTGAAGCATTTTGCCTGTGCGGGCAGGCGGTAACGTTACGCTACGGGGCCATTCCTTCATCAGCTTCATGTTACTTGCCATAGTTGTCAGGATTACATCAAACCGACGGTAATCTTTTTACGTCATTCTATTAGATGTGTTTAACCGATTAAAGGCCTCCGTTCAGTAGGAGTGAATATCGGTGATCAGAAAGGTTCGATTGAGATGATTTTTTGCATGCTTTTCTCATGGATCATCCGGTAAATGGCCGAGGTAATGGAGGGGAAATGCTTCACGCTTTTCCTGCCCGTCGGAGGATCCTGATTATTCTAAATTACGTGACGAGATTTTCTGCTCAAGTAGTTACTTTTTGGGTCCATTTGTAACCCAATAAAGAAAGACAGTAGGATAAGTATTGTGTATTTGCAAATTATACAATCCAGAAAGAACAACGAGCACCATCTTGTACACACCAGAAATTAGCAGAAGTTATTGTAATTTTGTTAGTCAGACCGCAGACTACCAGAAACCAACTCTGCGTCTCTGACTTGAAAGAGAAAATCGATGGCAAAACGTCATGCTATTAGCTCTGTAGGAATTAAATGCACATAAAAATGCAACATTACTACGAAATAAAAGTCGAGAAAGTGAATTTCGAGTATTGCAAACATAAACGAGGTAAAATAAATAGTTGATATTGTACGAATCTTTCCGATGAACGACAATCGATTGGAAAAACGTGATTTTTGATAAAAGAAATGGACGAAACGCATCCTCCGTTTTACAAAGCGGGGCTTGGACAGGCTCACAATGGCTAAGAACTTGTGCGACCGCATCGCATTCGCACGCGGATTATTCTGGAGGTTTTGCCTCTTCGCTTTGGAAAATGGAGTCAATACAGATCAATTATAAATGTATTAAACCAATATGGCTAGAATTAAAGTGAAACACAGTCATAGAAAATGGCCATATGTCTGGACAATTATCACAATTGTATAGCGTTTGTGACAGTTAAACGTTCTCTAATTACTGATTATACTACGAAATTTTTCCAAATCCTCCAGTTTTCCACAGAATAAAGTTACTTCTTGAATTCTTAACAATTCGAACTAACACTTTTTTGAATTAACTGATTATAATGTAATTCCTTATTCATATTAATCTAAAAATAATTTCAACAAACAAGAAAAAGTGGCGGTCACCGATCAGCAAAGGGTACGGTATTCACATTTCTGTGCAGAGTGCATGGAAGAAACACGACTAGAAACCGGGTCGTAGGTTGGTTTTTGGCACGAATCCAAGGCCAAGCTTTGCCAGGCACATGTTCCGCCGTAGTTGCATCACGTCAAAGTATGCGTCTCGAATACCGGATTTGATTAGACCAGCTCTCAAGTACCGTATGAATGTGTAGTAATCACAGACGGCAGCGATCTGCAACAAGTCGATTGTATGGAATACAGAATATCATTCAAAAAAGCGGGAGAACAGGAAAGGTATGGAAAGCAGTTATTGGAGGTAAAACAGCTATAAAATGCGCCACGCGCTCGACTTTTATTCAGAATCTTGAAGGTATTTGATCACTTATCTCACATGTCTAACCAAATGCAGAGACCGTACGATGTTCTGAAGGATTCCACGATAAAGTCAAAGGTCTAAGAAGGGGAAACATACGTAGTTGAAGGGCAGTTGAGCTTCCTGAGGGTGCGCGATGATGCGCGTTCCGCAACGAGTTGCCCCAGCGGCTAAACCAGAGCCCCACCCGCGCTGCGGCACGCCCACCTCTCGCCACCTGGCTCAGCCGTTTACCAGAGAGAGTTAATGTTCAAAAGCAACGACGGGGGCGCATCAGTACGGTAATCAAGGTCAAAGAAGGAGTATCTCGGGTTCTGAGCCGTTTCTCATGTTTTTGTGCAGCCGCACCACCGGTCACCTTCACCTTGATTTCTAACAGGCTGATTTTTCATGTTAAACTTCGCCTTTAATGGGCAACAGAATTACTTCCAGTCAGAATAACCTATCAAAATTAAGAAAAAAAAACCTTTATAAACAAAATAATTAAAATGGTTCGTTTCGCTCCTTCCTCAGACGAACCTTATTATTTCGTCAATCCCCGGAGCTCATCAGTGAGTTGGGATTGGCGAAATAAAGACACAGGGGAAAGACGAATAAACCTTGAGCTGACGTACAAATTTGTTCCTAAAAACCCAACGACGCAGAAAAGCTAATCCAACGTGTTTAATGAAACTGATCTTGATCGCCACGAAAAGTGATGCGCCTTTGGAGGTAGGATAAGCCCTGCCCAAGAACCAGTTACCAAATTTATGTGCAAGATTTCTCATATTTTGCAAAAGCACGTAAAAATTTTTGGTAGTTATTCATGGTTCGAAATGTTTGGAAGCGCTCTACTTGCATACGCGTAAGTTCAGGGAAATTTGTTTTCTTAGAA